CCCATCTGCCAAGTAACACAGATTCTAAGGAATAGGGTGTGGACATCTTTGGGGGTTAGTATTCTGTCTGCCACAGGAGTGGGCACAAATACCCCCATCCTTCCCTGCCTCCCGCCATCCTGTATCCCTCCCTCCCTCCCCCATCCCCCACCCCATCCCTCCATCCCCGCCTCTCTCCATACCTCCATCCACCCCGAGTTCTCACCCCAATCCCCCAACACTCAAGGCATGAAAAAACCCCAGGGCAGGTGGGGATTGCTTTGAAGGAACACTCTTCTGTTGTACCTAGGTGAGCTTTGGAGACATGAACTAGAACCTTCTATCAGAGAATGGGCCCTGAGGTCACCTTTCCTTGTGCTCCCATGCAGATGGCAGCTGCCCTGAGGGCCCGTGAGGAGGTGGCCCCTGTGGGTGACTCTGGAGATGGTGGCCGGGTGCCCCCCTCCCCCCCAGCAGGGTGGCTTCCTGGCTAGGATAAATTCTGTCAGCGATGGGGAGCAGCAGCCCTGAGGCCGTCCACCAGCGAGCATTGACAGGCCGTCACCCCTCCTCCTACGGAGCTGGGGCTGGCCGGCGTCCGCCTGGCTCCTGGGTGACGTCCCACCCCTCCCGGCCCCTTCCTGTCAGAGCTGCGTCCCCCATTCTCCCCCGGAGCAGGTGCACCCCATCCCTTACCTTGCCTTTCCTCCACCTTGTGAGCACACCTGCCCGAGAGACGTGACGTGGAAGGAGCCCAGCTGCCCGGGTGCCGGGGCGAACCCCACTCCGAAGTTCTCAGGGCAGGTTCACAGCCTGCGGCATCTGCCCCGTTCCTAGTAAGGTGTCTGGAGATATGGCCACGCCCAGCGGTCCCGTGGCAAAACCGCAGAGCCCGGTGGTTCCCATTCTGCGTGGGGCGGCCGCCTCGGCGCGGTCGTGAGTGGGGAGCCCTCTGTGGCTCTCCCTGCAGGCTCCACGTGCCACGACGGCCGGTCCCCAGCTATGTTTGCTGCGGGCGTGTTCCCCGGAGGGCTCAGCACGCTGAACGGTCAGGATGGCACTTGACCTTGGGACAATGGCAGATTCAGCCCGGCTCTCCAGGCACCCACGGCTCCTATCTGCCACCTGGCCCAGCCCGGCACAGGGGGACAGCGCGCCTTTGCTTGGTTTGGCTCCGAAGCCAGACCTGGGGGTTGGCCCACCAGCCGCCGCTTCTGAAGCCGCAACTCGGGAAACCAAAGCCGAGGGACCCGGCGGCTTGCCGGAGTCTGCGGGACAGGATGCTTGTTGTTTTCTGCAGGTAACCGGGGTCAGGGGCCTAATGGGTCCCCGAGGGCTCAGACGGCAGGACCCGGTTTGCCGGTGCTGCCCGCGAGGAGCCGATCCCCCCTCGCGCGCTGCCCCTTCTCGCTAGGCTGGATGGCCGCGGGAGGCAGGAGGCAGGTCTCCAGCAGGAGGCCTCAGGGAGCACCCATTCCGGTCAGAGGACAGGCACCCTCCCGCATGCACCCGGGGGTCTGGAACAGAAGCCAGGGTCCTCCCCCAGTGTCAGAACACCCTCTAGCGCCCCACAATTGAACAAAGCACCTGAAGGCTAAGGGAGGCTTTGACCTGCTCAGAGCTCTTTGGATGCACACAGGGGTTTTGGCCTTAGATCCAGAACATGACCCAGGCAGGGGGCATCCTTGGCCTCTGGCGATGGGGGACTTTGTTTTTTGGGGAGGAAAGGAATGTCCTGGCTTCTCCGGGAGGAGTCTCCGCCCAGCAGACTGAAGGCACATTCCTGAGTCCGGCTGACCTTGACCGTGAACAGGAGACACCACAGGTCCCCTCACCTCTCCGCTGTGGTCCTGGGCAGGGCAGATGCTCCTGCCTTGGGGGGAAGACACTCCCAGGTTGGGCAGCGTGGTGGGAAGGTCGGTTCACTGCTGACCTGCTGTGTGACTGTGGGCAGGCCATGAACCCTCTCTGAGCCCTTGCTTCTCATCTGCAGCTTACAGGGAAGAACCTAGTGCTGGGCTTGCCGTGGGGCTCAAATAGGAAGATGTGAGCGCGCTGGTGCTGGGCTCGCCCCGAGCACACCCAGTGCGGACACGTGCCTGAGAGCGGGGCTGCTCCCCGAGCATCTCCTCTAAGGGCTCCTTTCTACCAAAGGAGACATCTGTGTGCCCCCCACTCAGCCAAAATGATGTTGCTGTGTGTTCTCTGAACCTTGTCGGTTGGACAGACACTGTGTCCCTCCAAAGCCCCGCTAACTGAGGTCCCAGTGCTAGAGCTTGCCGGCGTCCCCTAACAGGGCAAGACCCGGTGTCCGAGCAGGGTTCCCGGCCCTGTGATGAAGGCACCGGACACTGTCCTCTCTGTTTATCTCTCCTCTTCTCTCTCTCCTGTCTCAGTTTTGCTTTGGTTCCTGGCCTGTTTTAGGGATGGGTTGCCTGCACCCTGCGTGGCCTGGCCCCTCGTGGTTTTTGTCCCTGGGATACCCGGGGCGTCACGACCGCAACTGGAGGCCACAGGACAAGCATTTGTGTGAACGAGTGTCCACGGCACACAGGGGAGGAAGCCGGCGGCCCCTCCACGGTGCCCAGAGCTGGGTGGGGGGTGGAGCTCCTGGGTGGGAAGTAGGACAGGGGGTTGGGGCGCCTCCCCTCCGTTTCGTATTTCTAGAAGGGGACACTCACAAGGCTCTGCAGCCAAGGACGGTTTCATGACATGAAGACAGAGTTGTGCATGGGTGGGACCCCCTCAAAGCCCACTCTAAGGGGGTTCCCAGCCCCCCAGCACCACATGAAGGTCTCCACCTCCAAGCGGGCACGCGGACCTCTGCAGGTCCGGGAGGAGGACAGAGAGGTGACATCACCTTCCACCATTGCTTTGACATTCTTCTATCCCAAATGTGTGTTTTGTTTTGTTTTGTTTTGTTTTCTGAAGAAAAGCAGGTTGCTGAGATTAGAAGAGGCACAGCCCCGAGCCCGGTCCTGCCCCGTCTCGGCTCCCTGGTGCGTGCAGGCCCCACACGGGAGGACCCCTCCCGTCCAGCACGCCGCAGCCCACCTGTCTTTTCAGGCTGCGCTGGGAGCCAGCGTCGCCCACGGAGGCACGAGTCTGGAGCCTCCCCGGCCTTGTGGGACCTGGCCATGTGCTGCTGCAGCCAGCTCGGGGGTGCATGGGCAGACCCACCATGCCCGCAGCTGGCTGTAAATGATAAGACCCCAGGCTACACCGCAGCGGTCCACCTCCTCCCCTGAAACGGCCTCTGCTCCCACAGCTCCCATGGTGGGCTTCCTGGCAAGCTGTCCCTGGACATCGCAGCCTGTGCCCCCCAATACCAGGGGACAGCCCCGGATGCTGTCACAGGATCCCCCGTGGGCACTGCTCCGAGGAAGGGGCCTCTCAGAGCCCCAGGGTGCGGGGCTACCCCCAGGCCAGGGGACTGCCTTTGGCCTCCAAATGACCGATGGTCATCTCGTGGTCATCTCGGAGACTCATCTGATTCCCAGGTCAGCAGCCTAAGGGAGGGTTTGCTCGCGAGTAACCCCGACCCTGACCTGAGCTGCTCTGACACTCCTGCCCGGCAATGAACACACAGATGCCTGCCGGGCAGGAGTGCTCCCTCAGTGATGTCATACAGGTCCCCATGGCCCGGGCCCTGGGCTGCTTGCCTAGAGCCCCTGCACCAGGAGCTTGACCTTGCAGAGGAGAAAGCCTCTGCTGTCCCCTGGCTTCTCCACGTGTCTGTCCACCGAGGGGCAGACACACTCTACTCTTTGGGGTCTGGGCCCCTCCCTGCACTTTTCTCCCTTGGCTCTGGTGCCTGTTTGCTGACCGGAGTCACCTGAGTCCCAGGGGCAGGCATGTGAGCTCCTCCTCCAGACTCCGTGCACGCCTCGTTCCTCTGCCCCCTTCCCACCCGGCGACACCAGCCCTCCCCAGGCGACTGTCGCTCTGCGTAATGAGGCAGATTGCTGGGCCACAAGCTTCCTGCCTTCTGCTTCCGCTCCTCTCTGCCTGATGAAACTAGTCCTTGGGGACGCACTGTCCAAATCAAGGTGGCACCCAGCGACAGGCGGGGTGCGGAGGGGTCCCGCCTGCGAAAGACGAGGAGGCCGCTAGGCGAGAACTCCCCAGGCCCACGCAGGTGTGGGGGTGCAGGGAGCACAGGGTCAGTGGCCCGAGAGAAAGTCTAGAACAGGGAGCTCTGTGGACGGCGTCACCGCCCCTTGCGCCGCTGGGTGTGGGAGGTCAAATACATCGTTCGCGTGACTGTGGTCCTTGGAGGGTCTCCTCGGACAGTGTTTCTCAGGAACTGAGAGAACGTTCCCGAATCAGGAGTCGCTCCCTGTGGGTGCAGTTGCTCCGATTCTGCTGTATCTCCTGGAAGGAAGGTTGACAGGGCTCGCTGTGCGACGGGACGGGTTTCCCTTTGACGAAGTTCTGGGACGGAGACTTGGCAGAAATTCAGAGCAATTCGATGTGGCTGCAAAATAGTAAACTCTTGATTATTAATTAATTAGTGCTACTTTATTTAATTATAAGATAATGACATGCATCCATTTTACAATGAATAATTCATGTGTGTATAAATGATAAATACACAAAATAAGAATCATTTAATTAATAAAGGCACTTGCTTACCATCGTGGGGAGGAGGGGGCACGGCCGGTGGCGTGGCCCCGGGCTGAGATCTGTTCACCCTGGCTATGGGGTCCTGGGGGGGGCACCTGCCTCCTCGGTCCTAGGTGAGGTGGCTTCCCCAGAGGCCAGAGAACCCGCGTGCAAGTGGCCCGTGAACCCTGCGGGGCGCCCACGAGCCGGGAGCGGCTAAGGGAACCCACGGGATGTGGAGGAGGCACAGAGGAGGCCGACGTCCTTGCCCAGAACTCGGCGTTTACACACGCGTGAAAAATCTTGCTGATCACCTCAGTTGAGTCGTTAGCGTACGTGCGCGCTTGCCCCCCTGCGAGGGGGTCAACCCATGCCCCCAGCAGTGGCTGGGAACGAGTATGATGTGCTCTCTGCAGGATACAAGACCCTCCTGAAGGGGATCTCCGGCAAGTTCAACAGCGGGGAGCTGGTGGCCATCATGGGGCCCTCTGGGGCTGGGAAGTCCACGCTCATGAACATTCTGGCCGGGTACAGGTGAGGACACCTGCCGCGGAGAAGGGGGTCTTGCCTGTTGTTGGCCTGGGGCAGCCACCAGAAAGGCGAGGCCCTCCTGGGTCTGTCCTGTCATTCTTAAGTTCTGTACAGACTCCGGGAGGCCTGTGGGGTTGAGCATGAAGGAGTCTTAGGATGGGAGGGCTCGGGCGGCTTAGCGTCTGACTCTTGATTTCAACTCGGGTCATGATCTCGTGGTCATGAGATCGAGCCCCGTGTCAGACTCTGGGAGCTTCAGGGGGTCTGTTTGAGAGTCCTCTCTCCCTCTCCCCACCCCACCCTTTCTCTAATTTAAGGGAAAAAAAAAAGATTGAAAAAACCATAAGGTAAGCTGCAGGAGAACCGTGAGGCTGGGCCCAGGGCCCCCGTGCTCTAGCCTGGGCCTGTGTTAGTGCCCGAGTCCCTCCAGCATCTCTCCTGGGGCAGCAGCCGGAGAGGGAAATCTTCCCACGTGTTGAACTCCCCTCTTAGAGCCGGCGGTCGTCTGCTCTCGGGCTCCCACTTGCCAACGTTAGCAAATTCTCCTAACACTAGCAATGCTTTCATCTCCTGGAAGAGAGGACAGCTGTCACCCCTTTCCTTACGCCCTCTGAATTACTCTTTAATGCCAGAAATTAGGATTTTTAAAAACCTCCCATATGGCAGGTTTCTGCCTGTTGAATTCACATCAGAAGTTTGAGGCCAAGGCCCCGTGTCACGGGGGCGCCATGGTGGGGGCGGGACAGGAACGGCCACTTTCAGTACAACCACACCTCAGCCACTGCCTGGCCCGTGGGCGCTCCGGCAGCCTGGGGCCGCTGACTGCTGCCTGGAGGTGCCTGGGCCCGAGCCTGGCTCCCAGGGCAGCTGCGGGATGCCAGTGCTTCCCCTGGAGGAAAGAGCCAAGGTCGCTGTACTGGCCAAGACAAGTTAGAAACCAGAAGTGATTTCGCTGGTCGCCAAAGCCCCTTGGCGTCCCTGGGCTATGGGACATCTAGGAGGCTGGTCCTTCGGGGAAAGCCTGGGCCCCCCCAAACCCCCCAGGGGCTGGGATGACGCACGGGGAGAGCACAGGGAGGTGCGGTGCACAGTGGGCCTGGGGGAGGGGGAAGGGAGAAGGTGGCTGGCGTCCCCCGACCTACTGCATGAGGGGACAAGGAGCATCCCCTGGGCCTTAGGGGTGCAGGGCCTGGCCCGGTCTTCCAGCCTCCTGTGCCCCGGGAGCTGAACCCTCTCAGGCCTCGGGAACTGGTTCTGACGGGGGCGGCCACACCTTGGCTGCAGAGTCCTGGCCTTGGGGTCCTTCGGTGTAGCCGTGGCTGCTCACGAGATCATTCGGAAGCCAATCTCGGAAGCCCAGCAGAGTCAGGGTGTCTGTCCAACCCGGGGGCCACAGGTGGGGGCCCCCACACACATGTCCACCCGTTGGCCGCTGTGCCTACAGGTCCGGCCCCCCGTCCCCATCCCCCCCAGCATGTTCTCCACGCCGCTCCTCCCCGCGCGTCCTGGAGCTGCTCTGAGTACCCCCATCCTTCCGGCCCCCTGGCATCCCCGCCAGAACCGGTCAGCGGGGCAGCTGCTGGGAGGGGCCGCCCCTGCCGAGGCCCTGGAGGAGGAGCTGACCTTTCTCTCGTGGGCTTTGCAGGGAGACCGGCATGAAGGGGGCCGTGCTCATCAACGGCCAGCCGCGGGACCTGCGCTGCTTCCGGAAGGTGTCCTGTTACATCATGCAGGACGACATGCTGCTGCCGCACCTCACGGTGCAGGAGGCCATGATGGTGAGCCCCCGCCCCCACCCGGCCTCCCTTGGCAGAGCCCGGGGGCCCCATGGGCCACCTGCGCGCTGCCAAGTGTGGCTCTGATGCTAGGCCTGCTGTTGGGACAGCATCATTGAGAACAAACTCCCAGCGCCTCCCGTTCTCCTGGACTCGGGATGGCAAGGTCATGGGCAAGTTTGGGAGAAGGTTATGGCCCCACCTTCTGTGGCCAAGATCCTCCCACCCGTGTTCCATCAGCTGCCTGACTTATTTGTGGCTCTCGGCCTGAGTTCCCCAGTCTGACGCCTGAGTTGGGGCCCTGAGGGTCTGGTCTTCTGTCCCCCCTGCCAGCCGGGGTCACAGGGGAGTGAAACCAGCCCCTGCTGCACACCCCCGGCCTTCCAGGCCCCAGGGCCCACTCCCAGGCCCCTTTGTAAGCAGAGGCTCACACAGTCACCAGCGGTATGGCTGTGAGCCCGGGCGCCTACACGACGGGGTCTGGGGCAGCCTGGACGTCGGTCGTATGCTCGGGCCGCTTGCTTTCCTGCCTTTTCCTCGCCCACTGCAAAAGATAGTGCCCGGGCTCCAGGCCCTCCCTGTTCTCTGCTGCCCTACCTTGCGCCCTGGTCAGTAAACGAGCGTCTGCCTTGGTTTCCCTGCCAAGAGAGGTCTTGCCCTGTGCTCTGACCTGGACGGGGCAAAGCGTCCTTTCTGCAGGGCTGGAGAGGGGCTGCCCGGCGTGTCATCTGAAGGGTTACTGCAGGGGATTCTTATCTCAGCAAAGGGAAGCGGGGTAAGATGTCGGATACGCAGTCTGCCCCCAGCCCTCTCTGCGGGCTGTCCTTATCCCTGTCCCTGGGACTGAGTGTTCTAGAGGGGGGAGAACTCTCCACCGGGCTGGGCCTCGCCAGCAGACCCAGCTTGGGACCCCTAAGAGCTTATCCTGCCTCTATGCGACCTTTTGTGCCAGGGCACAGGGGCTCAGGAGGGGTTCAAGTAGAAGAGCTTCAGAAAAAAGATGTGTGCCCTCCAGGCACAGCCAAGAAGCCATCTGAGATGACAGCAAGCATCCCCGACATTTACTGCTCTCCCGGGCCCTGCCTTTGTTAAGCCAAGGCAGGTGGGAAGCCCATGCCCCTGAGGGATGTCCCCCATCATGTCAGCGTGAGGTTTGCCCTTCTGATCACCGTCCGTTCTGCTCCCACCCCTGCAGGTGTCCGCACATCTGAAGCTCCAGGAGAAGGATGAAGGCAGGAGGGAGATGGTGAGTGTGCGCTCGGGCCACAGGGTGTCCCCAAAGTATGCGAAATCCATTTGGCAAATGCGTGGGGAGGGACTTTTGGGCACTGGTTTTGTTTGCTGGTTTGTCACGTAGGTTTCTGTGCCGGGGACAGTGACATCTCAGGGTGCGTTCCGGCCCTGCAGCTGGGGGTCCAGCAGGGGCCTCCTTGTCCCGAGACTTACAGATCTTGGCCTGGCCGCCCACTGGCAAGGACACAGCGGGAAGGCTTAGGTGGCCAGAGCACACCAGCCTCGACAGTCAGCCAGGCACGAGATCTGCCCCTTTTGGCACCCGATATGCTTTATACCCCATTGTTGTTGTTTTTTTATAAAACACTAACAATGAAGATGGTTAGTCATTCCCTTAAAAATAACCAGCCTCCACCCACACGCACTCACAAGAAATTTGGTTCTTACACATTATTAAGCAGCTTTAAAAAAAAAAAAAAGTTTCCAGGTTGCTGGAGACCTTCTAACCCTCTGCATCGCCCCTCCCCTGCTCCCCCAAAGCCCAGGGCCCAGGTACAGGGAAACAGCCCCTGCGGGCCGGGAAGCCCCCCGCAGCCCCCGTGGCCCCTGCAGCCCCATATGGCTCCGTACAGCCCCGTACAGCAGGCGGGACTCATTTATGTTTACTCCTCATCTGCGGGAAACTCAGCTTCCCTCCTCCCTCCACGGCTAGCCTGGCACTGGGGGGATTTCCATGTGAGAGTGGAGTTGGGCGAAATCCCACTCATGCGTGACACCATCTTGTCTCCTAAACCCTTGGAAGATGAGGGTCTGGCAGCAAAACGAGGAGAATCAACAGGGTTACCCCAAGTGGTGCGACTTGCCTTGTTGCCATAAATCAGAACTGTGCGGTGAGCCCAGCTAAGAGACATTAATAGCAATTCTGTTTATGGCGTCAATTCCCTTTCTTGTGGCACATAATCGTGAACGTGATGTAAATGTGTCAGGAAGACCGTGCCAGGCGTCACTGGGGCTCGCCCCGTCCCCTGCACCCCATGGCCCAGCCACCACCCTTCAGAACCGTCAGGATCGGTCGGGGAATCCCGGGGTCAGCGGCCCTGCGCGGGCGGGAGAGGGGCGCACGTCCCCGTGCTGCTGGGGAGCTTTTAGTCTGCGGGCCAAAGGGAGGAAATGGATTCCTGGAACCCAGACGCTGCAGGGGTGGGGACTGCACCATTGGGTGGCCACTCAGGGTCTTGGGGAGGCCACGGGAGCCCACTCTGCCTGCTCTAGCAGAAGGGACGGGGTGAGACCGTCTTCTTGGAAGGACGAAGAGGCGTTTCCGGTGGGCCACGCCTGTGTGCACGTCCTGTAGACGCCTGGCCTGAGCTGCGGAAGGAGACAGACGCGTGCTGTCAGCTGGGTTTACAAGAGCGAAGGCCTCAAGTCAGCGGGGGTCTTCTGTGCCGGCTGAGTGGCTAAGCCCTCCCGAGGGAGGGAGAGCCTTGGCCCGTCTCTGGATTCGCTTGCTGCTGGACTGAGCATGACTTGTGAGCCATCCCCATGGGGCCTGGAGCTGGTCCCACACACGCTTTTCACCAGAAGCTCCCTTCCCAGTCCTCAGCCAAGTGTAGGCCCCTCTCTCTGAAGAAAGCATCCGCAGGAGCGCGTGGTTATTTCAAGGAAGAAACGGCAGCGGAGTGTCTGCCCTGACTCATTTCCCTTGAACCTAGGCTGAGGTTTTTTGTATGTCATGGAAACAATAGAATGGAACGTTCTCGTAGGTAACAGAATGCATTGTGGACAGCCTTCCTTGGTTCCCAGAAAAGCAGCCTCAGCCCTCGAGGGTTCCCAGCAAGGGGCTTGTTCCGGAGTGAGGTCCCCCGGGGCTGGGACATTGTTCTTTCTGACCAGTGTTAAAACAGAACCGACCTACAGAGCCTCCCTCTTGAGAGGACGCTGGAGAAGCAGGCAGACGGGGCAGGAGAAGGGCCAGCACTGACGTCTGCCTCCACCTCCGGCATCCTGTCTGGAGGGGCATCCGGCCACAAGGAGGGAGCCCGGCGAGGACAGACGGTGGAAGGGAGTGGGCATGGGCCGGGCTGCGGGGGGCCCCAAAGGCAAGCCTAGAAGGACCAGAGTGACTTTTCCTCTGCAAGTTCGGGCTGTGGCTCCAGAAGACCGTGCAAGCTTGGTGGCCCTGGGAAAGCCGACAGGTGCCGTCCGCCGGGGAAGGAAACTGTGCCGGAGAGCCCTCCCCACCGGCCCCGGCCTGATGGCCCTTCCCAGGCAGCCCCGCTGACCTTCTTTCCCATTTGGGGTCCCTCGAATGTACTGTGTTCTAGAAGGGCAGTGTGTTGGGTTTACGGATCAGCAAGGAAAAAGCCTCAAGGGATCTGCATCCAGGTCCATCGGACCCGCCCCCCGGCAGGGGGAAGGTAGTGTCCCCGCTCATCCGGGCACGCAGGCTGCATTTTGTCCTGACCGTGCGTTCGTAACTCAAGAGCTAGAGTGGAAATTTTCTTCCCTGTGAGTTCCTTCTCCTTCTGGATGACCTCATCTCCCCGGAGAAGCCACTGGACTGTGGTCCACCCCCCGGGGCCAGGAAAGTGGCTGGGCAGGACCACCAGGAGAGTGGGCCCTGGGAGGTGAGCCTGGGGTGGACATAGGGTGATAGCCGCGGACCCCCACCATCCCAGGGTCTGCCTCCAGGAGACACCAGAACACCACCGTCAAGTCAGCTGACTTCTGTTCCCCGAGTCAACCTGGGTCAATGATCTGGAATGGACATGGAGGCTTAGTCACAGTGGACTGTTTATATCCTGGGGCCCTACCTGCTTCCCCGGCGTGGGGGGCATGGGCAGGGCCCCCGTGGAAGTGGTGACTGCGTCAAGCCATTTCCTGACCTTGCGGCCCCATTGGAGCCCTGGGTCTCCCGTGACGAGTGCCAGCGGGCGGCTCTCTTCCTTCCTGAGAGCCTGGGCGGTGTGGCGTGGGTCCGCAGGAGCCGTGGCCCCGCGCAGGGTGCCATTAATGGGCACTGGTGGTTACCGGCCCTCCTCTGTGCCAAGCTTTACGCTGCATGTGTTCATTGCTTCCCCCATGTCACTGTCACAACGTCCCCTCCTTGTACTGCTCAGACCCCTGTTTGCCCACGGCTGTGTGTCTGCCGCCCCGTTCTGCACATGGTCACTGAGCACCTTCTGAGGCCCAAGTGAGGCTTACAAGGGCAGGAGCCTGCTGGATCTCCAGCAGGAGGCAGGAAGGGGCCTCTAGCCCCGGGGGCCCAACTCCAGCACTTGCTCCCCAGGTTCCTCGGCCCAAACAAGGACCTTGGACTTGGAAAGGCACCTACCCACTTGGTCACAGGCAGCCTGGGATGGGCCCTGATATGCAACCCATTTGTGTGTGCCCACAAGCGGGCTGGGGAAGGCAGCGGGTGTTTCCGGGTGGGCCTGGAGGTGGTGAGGCATGGTGGGTGGTCCCTGATGGCCCCTTGGGCTCTGCCGCTCCCCCAGGTCAAGGAGATCCTGACAGCTCTGGGCTTGCTGTCTTGTGCCAACACGCGGACTGGAAGCCTCTCGGGTGGCCAGCGGAAGCGCCTGGCCATCGCGCTGGAGCTGGTGAACAACCCCCCTGTCATGTTCTTTGATGAGCCCACCAGGTAATCCAAAGCAGCAGAGGAAAGAGCCCTGCCTTCACCATCGGTTTTTGCAGGGGCTCCTAGAGTCACCTCTAAGGGGGTGGGGGGCATGTTCTCTGCCTGCCCATCTTCTCCTGTCCCGGGGTCCCAGAACAGAGGCCTGACTTCTCTCCCTCTCCCTGTCTGATTCCAGAAGACATGACGGGCTCAGGCTTGCAAAACAGGCCTCCCCACTGTGCTGTGGGGTATGGCTTGGTGAGGGGTCCCACAGGCATCTCACGGTGCCCCTTGCCTTGCAGTGGCCTGGACAGTGCCTCCTGCTTCCAGGTGGTCTCCCTGATGAAAGGGCTGGCCCAAGGAGGGAGGTCCATCATCTGCACCATCCACCAGCCCAGCGCCAAACTCTTTGAACTCTTTGACCAGGTACGTGCGGTGTTGGCTCAGGTGACACCAGATCCCAGGGACTCACAGCTTCCTGTCAGTTCCTGGGGGTGTCTTCATTTTTGAGTGGCCTTACGTGGTATATTTCATAAAACTATGGAGTCATAAGCAGCTAAGGTGGTAGGGCAGGAGACGGTAGAAAGAGCTGGCCCGTGTTCTCCCCCTGGGGCTGATATCTGGCAAAGGGGTCTGACCTTGCTAAAGCTTCATTTTCTATCCCCAACCCTGTAACAATGGGGGAACACCTATTTTACACAATCAAATGGGAGGTTATCATATGTGTACAACGTCATTTCTTTTATAAATCATAGGTTTTGACATTGTAAGCAAAAAAAGAAAGAAAAGAAAAAAAGGAAAAGAAAAAAGAAAAGCCCAGGGATGAAATGTGTACAGCTTCAAAACCTTTCCTAGCAGGTGGTTGGTGTGAGGGGGAAGAAAAACAATATAAAAAAGCAACGCTTGTGCATATGATATCTTCCCCGACTTAAAGTTCCCTTTGAACTTTAACATTTTGGGGAGATAATGTAAAACTCTCCTAAAAGAGAGAGAAATGGACTCATGGATGGGTGGATGGATGGATAAATAGGTTGAATGGGTAGTAGATGGATGTGTAGATGGGTAGGTGGGTGGGTGGATGGATGGAAAGATGGATGGATGGAAGGTTGAATGGGAGTTGTTGGATGGATGGATGGATGGGTGGGTGGGTAGAAGGAAGGGTGAATGGGTGGTAGATGGATGGGTAAATGAAGGTTGAATGAGTGGTGGATAGATGGTGGATATGTGGGTGAGTGGATGGATAGAAGCTTAAATGGGTAGTGGTTAGATGGATCAATGGATGGGTGGATAAACGGGAGGGTGGGTGGATGGCTAGATGGAAGGTTGAATGGAAGGATGGATGGATAGGTGGATAGATATGTAAATTGGTGGGTAGGTGGGTGGATGGATAGAGGTTGAATGGGAGTTGTTGGATGGATGGATGGATGGATGGATGGGTAGATGGAAGAGAGAATGGGTGGTGGATAGATGGGTAAATGAAGGTTGAATGGGTGGTGGATGGATGGTGGATGTGTGGGTGAGTGGATGGATGAAAAGACGGATGGATGGTTGGAAGGATGAATGGGTGGTAGATAGGTAAATGGGTGGGTGAGTGGATGGATGGAAGCTTGAATGGGTAGTGGTTAGATGGATCAATGGATGGGTGGATAAATGGGAGGATGGGTGGATGAGTACATGGAAGGTTGAATGGGAGGACGGATGGATGGGTAGAAGGAAGGTTGAATGGGTAGTGGATGGATGAGTAGATGAGTGGGTGCATGGGTAGAGGGATAGATGCATGGAAGGTTGAATGGGTGGTGGAGGAATGGGTGGATGGGTGGATAAATTGGAGGGTGGATGGATGGGTGGGTAGATAGAAGGCTGGATGGGTGGTGGATGGATGGTGGATGTGTGGGTGGGTGGATGAGTGGATAGATAGGTTGAATGTGTAGTTGTTAGATGGATGGATGGATGGATGGATGGATGGATGGATGGGTAGATATATGGGAAGATGGATGGATGGGTAGATTGAAGGTTGAATGGGTGGTGGAGGGATGGGTGGATGAGTGGGTGGGTGGGTGGATGGATGGAGGATGGATGGTTGAATGGGTAATGGATGGATGGGTGGATGGTTATGTAAATTGGTGGGTGGGTGGGTGGATAGAAGGTTGAATGGGTAGTGGTTGGATGGATGGATGGACGGATGGATAAATGGGAGGATGAATAGATGGGTAGATGGAAGGTTGAATGGGTGGTGGATGGATGGGTGGATTAGTAGGTAGGTGGATGGGTAGAAGGATGGATAAATGGGAGGGTGGATGGATGGGTGGGTAGATAGTGGATGGATGTGTAGATGGATGGTTAGGTGGGCGGATAGAAGGTTGGATGGGTGATAGATGGCGGGGTGGACAGACTGGCAGCTCCTGTTGCTTTACAAAGAAGGACAAGGTTGATGTTCTCCTTCTCCTTATTTTTTTCTAGCTTTATGTCCTCAGTCAAGGACAATGTGTGTACCGGGGAAAAGTCTCTAATCTTGTACCATACTTGAGGGATTTAGGTCTGAACTGCCCAACCTATCACAACCCAGCTGATTTTGGTAAGTAGAACCTTGACAAAGGGGCTCTTTTCCACTCTTGGTGAGTTTCTGCCTTTACACGACACCCCCAAATCTGGAATTCCTTGAATATTGCATATGTGACTCCAGTGCCATCCTGTGGTGGAGCTTTTAAAAGCAGATTAGAGATTTTCCCTCCTTCAAAGAAGATATCTAGGACCTAGAACAAGGATGCTGTTTTTTGGAGCTGTTTTTCCTAACGCTTTGTGTGTTAGGTTTATGATTTAAAGGAAGGTATTTCTGAAAATAAATAACTGTTAAAAATAAAAAATGACCCTTTCACATTGATAACTGAGTCATTAAAATGCGGATTTAAGTTTCCACCAAACATAACAAAAGTGATGCTCAGAGCCTGGAGACTAAGTTGATGGTCTGAGCTCCTCCTCTTGGGTTGGCTGTCTCAGGGTTGGCAGCCAAGCACACTGTGTCTGGGGCCCTGAGATGTAGGAGCCCACCCCAGGGCTCGTTTTGCCCTGGCGCGGTCCCCAGGCCCCTCCCCTGGCCATGCCCTCCAGGGTGTCGATGCCGCTGCTGTTGGCTATCCCTTTTCCCCATCCATTGGGGCTCTGGGCCCAGCACCCCTTCTCCACACCGTGCCCCATACATCCGTCAGCAAGCTGCACAACCTCTCCAGGCTATGTCTCCAAAACCAAGTCTCCTCCACCAGGCTCTGCAAAGCTAGGGAGACTGGCAACCCTCCTGCCTTCTCTTTCTCTCAAGCTTCATATTCACTAAGCCGCCAAGTGCTTAAGACACCCCCACCCAGTCCCGTTCCTCCACCTCGGCCTCTTGCTGGGGTCCAGTCTCTGCCAGCACATTCTGCCTGCCCACGGCTGCTGCAAGGACGCCCCACAAGCTGGGTGGTCTAAATCGGCAGGAATTCATCCTCTCACGGTCATGGGGCTGGAAGTCAAGGTGTGGGCTGGGCTGTGCCACCTCGGAGGGCTCTAGGGGAGGGTCCTTCCTGCTCCTCCAGTTCCTGGGGGCTCCAGTGTTCCTGGGCTGGTGGCTGGGCCACCCCAGTCTCTGCCCATGTCCTCACATGGCTTTTTTCTCTCTGTCTCTGGGTGTCCTCTCCTCCTCTGGTAATGACAACACTCACAGGACTCAGGGCCCACCCTAAATCCAGGACAGTTTCATCTCAAGACCCATAATAAATTAAACCTGCAAAGAGCATTTTCCAAATAAAGCCACATTCTGAGGTTCTAGGTGGATGTGAATGGGGGGAGGGGATCAGCCTTTCTCATCTATGTTTTCCCCCAAACACCTGGCCACAGCACTGCTGGATTCCACATGTCTCCAACATCATCCCCCAAATTGTGTTCCATGAGACACTGTTCCCAGGCCAGGCTCCATCTTCTGAGAAGTGGGTCATGATGGGGGCGGGGCACAGAGTGGACGGGAAGGGGCCCAGAGGGAGGAGAGCCTCATCTAAAGAGAGGCTTTGGAATGTCGCAAAGGCAGTGGGTAGAGCCAATGATTGTCACACACTCATTCCCCAGAGAGAGAGGCAGGTGGAAACAGGAGCCACAGAGCAGGGGTGGAGTGGGGAGGTCCAGGGCCTGCAAAGAGGAGAGGACCTAAGGCGTAGGAAACCGAGCGCATGGGACTGTGGGAAGGTCTCAGGAAGGGAGCTTCTGCTGTTCTCTCTGTGTCCCCAGAGAGAGGGCAGGAGGGGAGGGGAGAGGGGCCATTCGGAGCACAGTAGAGCAGGGTGGGCATGAGTGAGCAGGTGGGCCGGCCATGCTGGGCGTGTGTGACGTCACTGACGATGACGTTCTCCTGTGGCAACACGTGCTGGTTTATGACAGAATCGAGGAGGGCTTGGCTGCCCCGGGTCAGGCTCAGGAGAGCAGATAGCTGCTGTGGCCTGAGGGCAGAGCCCAAATACTGAGGCCGGGGACTTTGGGCTTCAGCACGAATGTCAGTGAGGGGAGGGGCTGTGGGAAGGAGGCGTGGGAGACCGCAGGTCGGGGGAGGGGAGGAGAGGCAGTCGTGTGGGGTGTGGAACCAGGGGCCACAGAGAGGCCGTGGGATCCAGAGACAGGGTCAGCAGAGGACACACTCCCTGGGGATCAGGAGGTGGGGCTGAGGGTTCCAAGCCAGTGGTGGCCGTGGGCCGCTCTCCATGGTCCTGAAACACACTCACTGCAGCCATCCCTGCTGAGCCCACTGGGACATGCAAGCCCCCCTCCTGCTCATCCCTTGGCTCCAATCCTGGGGCTTGGATGCCCGAGGCAGGCGTTCAGTCACATCAGTGGGTGAATAAGTTCACAGACGCACAAGCTTGTTCCCTCTGACTCCCTGGTATCACCATCTGAATTCGCATTTCTAGGGTCCTGACGTCATCCCTGGCTTTGCTGGGGGTTTTAGAGCTGACGAAATGTGGGTTAAGGAATGGTCTCATCCTATCACACAGCACCCCTATAATCCGTTAAAAGGACTCCCGCGACGCTCATGGCCATGTTGGTGTAAAACGACCAAGGCCTGGGTTCACGTTAGCCGCAGGGGGGCTCCTCTGCGGGGGGGTGGCGGGTAGCGGGGGTGGGGGTGGAGGGCGCTGGGACTGACCCGTGTGTGTCTCCTGCAGTCATGGAGGTCGCGTCCGGCGAGTACGGTGATCAGAACGGCCGCCTGGTGAGAGCCGTCCGGGAGGGCATGTGTGACTCTGACCACAGGAGAGAGCCTGGGGGGGATGCCGAGGTGAACCCTTTTCTTTGGCACCGGCCCTCTGAAGAGGTAAAGCAGGCAAAACGATTGAAGGGGTCTAGAAAGGTAATGCAAAGCCCCGGCCCCCGCGGGACGGCTGCGCCTTGCACCCTGCCGCCTGGGGGCTCTCGCTCGGCCGCAGGGGGCTGCGTGCGGGGCTGGCAGCTCACGGCCCCCCTCCCTGTGTGCGCCCGCAGGACTCCGCCTCCATGGAGGGCTGCCACAGCTTCTCGGCCAGCTGCCTCACGCAGTTCTGCATCCTCTTCAGACGGACTTTCCTCAGTATCATGAGGGACTCGGTGAGGCTGTGGGCCAGCGTTCTCTCGGGGCTGAGGGAGGCGCAGGGGGGTTTTCCGGTGTGGTCATCCTGGCTGAGCTGTCGGGCTGTTTTCCCTGCCTTTGCACCGGTCAGCTTTCCATCCACGGTGCTGCTGTTTCAACACCGCCGGGGGCTCTGACAGTGAATTCAGGTCACGCTGGTGTCCTGTGTTGATGGCAGCGGCTGGTGGCCCTGCCCCCCATGTCTCATCCTGGGACCCAGATGGAGACACGGCTCCTCTTCTGGAACATGGCAAAGGGCAGCCTGTCAGAGTTCCCACTGGGGGCGGCAAACCCTCTCGTGCTCGCTTGCCTCTGGCTGAGCCCGGGTGGGAGTGTGCTCCTGTCTCCAGGAGGCCCTGTGGGCACAGGGCGCTGGCAGGAGCAGGGGCGAGTGACCAGGAGCCGTGATCCCATCCACCCATCTTAGTGGACAAGCTGGCAGGCTCCCTGCCAGGGAGGGCTCAGTGCCCAGCGGGGCCTTTGGGAACTGCGTTGAACACTGGGGGGCTTGTAGCTGCCCAGGCCAGAGCACTCCAAGGAGGGCCTCGGGTGTGTCCATTCTCTGCCCGCCAGCACTGTTTCACCTGTCTTCTCCTCTGAAGGCAGACCAGGCAGCCCACCCTTCTGCTTTTCGTGAAGGGGATTTAACAGAGAATAGCAGTTGCTTCTGGGGTGTGTGTGTCTGTGTGTGTGTGTGTGTGTGTGTGAGTGTGAGTTGGTTTAGGGTCGGGGCTTGTTTATCTAGAGGAGAAATCAGGTGCCAGTGCCTTCCTCAGTCTCTGCCCGACCCCCGCGCACTCAGCGAGAACCGTGTCTGCCCCCAGGTCCTGACACACCTGCGGATCACGTCTCACATTGGAATCGGCCTCCTCATCGGCCTGCTGTACCTGGGGATTGGGAACGAGGCCAAGAAGGTCCTGAGTAACTCCGGCTTCCTCTTCTTCTCCATGCTATTCCTCATGTTCGCAGCCCTCATGCCCACCGTTCTCACGTGTGAGTGTCGGACCCTACGCCCACCCAGCACCGGGGGACCCCGGTCAAGGCTCGGCCCATAGTTGAGTTTTCTGACACAGAATATCTTGGTTTTTCAAAGTATCATTTTCTTTGTTGACAGGGATGATCATATTTTCTCTTAGACAACAAAATACGTACCATGTTTAAGCCAAAGGAATTAATCACTAATGGAGAAACTATAACCACTGTGGAAGGCTGACCAAAGAGATAGTCCCAAAGTGTCTAATCAGGAAACCCTGAAATCTTACTCCTTAACTGTTACCCCATTCTCTCATTAGGCAGTCTGCTGTGGCCAGAGTTTGTGAGTGAATAAGGCTATTTTTTATGGATTTCCATGCAGTCCAGATTATTTGCCAAGCACGCTGCCCTTGCTCACTCGGACTGACCATAAACTCCAGCATAAAATTTGCCCCAGTGTCGCCTCCCTAAATGGCCTGAATGCTCAGGACCAGCTTGGGGGTTCTTGCCCGTAGGAGGAATCACACTGCTTCACTGTCGGCTTAGCAGGAAATACTTGTGCCAATCACTACAATAATGCTCAGTGTCCGAGCAGATGTTCTCCGCTCTTCGATTGTCCCCCTGGTGACCCTTTGGGTTATAAACACGGTCACGGTTGGAGGTTTCCCCAGGCCGGTGCATGGGTCTGCAGGTCTTAGCCCCGCCTCCGAGGGCCGCGCAGGCCGATGCCCCTCGCCCTCTCCAGCGCCACACACGCGCGCCTGCGGGGAGTCCCGGCGCGCAAGCCGGGTGGGCCTGACCCCTTTGCCCTCCGTCTGTCTCCTAGTTCCCCTGGAGATGGGAGTATTTCTTCGGGAACACCTGAACTACTGGTACAGCCTGAAGGCCTACTACCTAGCCAAGACCATGGCCGACGTGCCTTTCCAGGTGTGGTAGCGGAGGGCGCGCTCCCCGCACTCCCTGCGGAGGGGGACGCCGTGTCCGGGGGCTGACCGGCCGTGTGTTGCAGATCATGTTCCCCGTGGCCTACTGTAGCATCGTGTACTGGATGACCTCGCAGCCGTCCGACGCCCTGAGGTTCGTGCTGTTCGCCGCGCTGGGCACCATGACGTCGCTGGTGGCGCAGTCCCTGGGTCTGCTCATCGGAGCCGCCTCCACGTCCCTGCAGGTACCAGCGGAGGCGGGGCGGGGGGCGGGCCAGTGTGGCTGGGGCCCCTCCCCCGCAAAACGCAGCCGCCTCATTCTGCCCTGACCTCCCAGGCCGGTGGACGCCCAGGGAAGGAACCGCCGGGGCCGGTCGGGGTTGGCGCGCTGACCGCAGCAGGGCCCCGTAGGTGGCCTCGGTGCCTGCCAGGCGCTGCTCCCGGTCCTTTCCTCGTCCTAGCTCATTGGGCTTCAGACACCCCACGAGCTAGGATGGTGCCATTCCCATCTCACAGTGGGGGAGACTGAGACCCAGACAGGGAACATGGTCTGGTCAGGGGCTGCCCCTGGCTCCGAGTCCAAGCTTTCAAAGCCTATGTTCCGTTGCCTCTGGGGGATCCGCTCCGCTGTCCCTTGGCACCCCCCAGGGCCACCTGTGCCCCTCCCCTGCCCCGGGGCTTCACGTGCCCCCAACCTGCCCAAGCCCGCACTGTGGCGGTTTTAGGGTGCCCTGGGCAGCTCTGTCCCCCAAAACAAAGCCACAGTCTGGTGAACCGGATGCCCGCCAGGCCTTCCAGCACACACCCTTCCCGCCGCTGCATGTGATGGACCCTCCGTTCCTGTCTTTGGAGCCCCCCGCCGCTCACTGATGGCTTAGCCTCCAGGAGGTCCCCTCCTCCGGGGACAGGCATAGCGATGTGTGCATGGGACAGCCGTGGAGAGCGCTTGGCCCACCAGCTGCCCAGAGGGCCTGGGAACGGTGCTCACTGCCCCTTCCTCCCTCGGGCACGGCGGCAGCACACGGCTCTCTGCTCCCCCAGCTGCTGTGCCACCGTCTCGCCACCGTTCACCTTGGCGTCTGCCCCCTGCAGGAGGCTTTCTCTCTTCACCCACCCCTGCTGGGGCCCTCTGCTCTCTTCGCACATGTCCCAGCCCCTCCCTGTGTGGAGACAGGCTGCAGGCTGGAAGAGAGGGGCTGCTCAGTGCTGTCCTGGCCTTTGGTGACCAGCCTGGAGCCCTGGCCCTTTCCCAGTTGCTGTGACTCTCCCCATACACGTGGGATATGGCCTCCCAGGGACACCTGAGGAAAGTGGGTGGGAGTCCCACCTGCTGCCCCTGAGCACGTCCCCTGTGTGTCTCCCCAGGTGGCGACCTTTGTGGGACCCGTGACGGCCATCCCTGTCCTCCTCTTCTCGGGGTTCTTTGTCAGCTTCGACACGATCCCAGCTTACCTGCAGTGGATGTCCTACATCTCCTACGTCAGGTAGCGTGTGTGGGGTCTTGGATCACTCGGGAGCTCTATGTGGACAGAGGGAAGGGACAAAAGCCACTTCCTGGCCCCCAGCTAAAGCCCAGCATCATGCTTGCCTCATGAATTTGAGACTGTTGGTGCCTTTCATTTTCTCCTAAGTCTGGTGTGTCCGCATCGTCACACACACACACACACACGCACACACACAAGAATTAAATAAATACTAGCAGTTTGTGCCTTGAAGAAGCTGCAGTGGACCCTGTGTTCTGCCCATTTCAGAGAACTGCTGGGGGGGCGTGTTTCCATCTCACAGCCCTCGTCCCTCTCTGGAATGAGCAGCACTCAAACGAGGTTCTGACTGTAAATCCCGTGGAAACCAGGTCCTGTTTTAAACATCCTAATGTCTTTGAACAAGAGCGTCCTGGCCCCTGGGTGCCGCAGTGCTCGGACCTGGTCCTCTCTGCTCCGGGTCCTGGCACGTCAGCCTTACCGGGCAGCGCCCATCTCCAGAGCTCTTCTCCCCCAGCTCCAGCGATCCCACGTGACACACAAGATCCAAAGTTGGGAACAAGCTTTCTTTCTCTAGAACGTCAGTTCGGACCCAGATGTATTGTTCAGGAAAACAAAATCAAAACAAAGTGCCCGTACAGAGTTTCAGCAATCTGTGTGTGTTCCAACGCCAAGAAATCAGAAATCCATGTCTTTCTTCTCAAAATTGGTGTTTTTGTTTGGACACTTTAGGCTGGACTGGAATGAGAGATGGCACGAGAGGGTATTACTGAAACGCTCTCTAGTCCTTGGAAGGCTATTAGATCCTTTATTATTTCAAACTGTGAAAAAGTTTGTCGTCTCAGGCGATCAAAGAGCCTTCCAGTTGGTTTCCTCCATTGAACAAGTAGCTCCTAGCCATTCCGTTTGGTTTTGCGGGCGGAGGCTCCGGAGGAGACAGAAATCGGGCAAACCTCGTCCAAGCCGGGTGTGTTTTTCTTGGGAGGCTGCTGCGAGGCTGGGAAGCAGTCGTGTGAAGACGGGTCTCGGGGACAGAGCGTGGCCACGCGTGGATCACGGACGGCGTGGGGGGTTCCGTCTCCCTCTGCAGATGGAGGCAGGCGTGAGGGCGTGGGGTCCCCTGGCTGTGGGGAGGGCGTTGTTGACGGCCAGAACCTTCCTCTGTAGGTACGGATTCGAGGGGGTCATCCTGTCCATCTACGGGCTGGACCGAGAGGACCTGCACTGCGGCATCGATGAGACGTGTCACTTCCAGAAGTCGGAGGCCATCCTGAGGGAGCTGGACGTAGAGGACGCCAAGCTCTATCTAGACTTCATCGTCCTGGGCATTTTCTTCATCTCCCTACGCCTCATCGCCTATTTCGTCCTGAGATATAAAATCCGGGCGGAGAGGTAAAAACACCCGAGCACCAGGAGACACGGACATAGGCATTGCGGCCCAGGGCCCCTTGCGGAGCCGCGGGGACAGCTGCCGCCCCCCAGCCCCCGGCGGTGCGTTCCGTCTATGGGCGTTGTGCTTCCCGTGTCCGCGCCTGCGCCTCTCTCCATCTCCCTTTCCAGCCTCATCTGGGAAGAAGGTGTAGAAAGGTGTCGCATCCTCGTGCAGAATTTCACCCCACAGAGGCTAGGCACGCAGAAACCGGCAGCAGAGCAGCAGCCGGGAGGCCGGGGAGGAAGGACCCACACCAGGGGCAGCCCGGTCTCGTGACGGTCGCTGTCGTCCTACGGTTCTGCCGCCTCCTCCGGGGAGAAGTCAATTTCCAAGCCAAAAGCCGATAACTCTCATTCATTTTAAGAAACTGTATCTTTTTAGTACTTGTTAAAGCAAATTATTCAGGGTAAATAACACATTTTGCTTACAGACACGAGGGGCTTAACTAAGGCACGGAGCTGGTCTCATTGTCAGGCAAAACTTGGGAAAGATGCGGGCGCGGTCTCTGGAGGGTGACATTGGCCAACCTTCCCAAAGTCTTTTCTCCCCCCTCACCCCGCCCCGTGTTGCTTATTTTAAGCAAAAATACATTGTTTATTTCTTCCTAACTTTCTGAACACCTTAATTTCGCCTAAAACGTGTCTAGAAGATGAGCCTTGTTGATTTCTTGCACACATGTCCCTCTCCTCTCGTGTCACGTCGACTACCTCCACGGGAGCTGGGAGAGCTAGGCAGGTGGCAAAGCCAGGGTGGCCAGGGAGGGCCTCAGGGAGCCACAGGAAGGAGCCACCAGCGGCGGGGGGCGGTGCCCAGACCTCGCAGCCTCCAAGGCCTTACAAGCAACCGGCACAGTCTGCGTAGCCCAGGCTCCTGTGGCTTGTTCAGACAGTGCACAGGGTTGTGCGCGAGGCCACCTCCCGAGCCCAGTGTCCGTGACATCCCCACCTTCTCGGTGCTGAGCCCCTGCTGATGTCACAGACCAGAAGCTCCTTCTTCCCAGGGACGAAGTCACAGAACAAAATCCCCGTGGGGCAGGAGTGGCAGGCGCACCTGCGGGGTAACTTGCCTCTTGCTTGTGTCCTGATGTCGTGTGCCTGCCAGCTGTCAGAGGCAGTGTGACCCAGCAGGAGGTCAGAGGAGACCAAGGAGGGAAATGGAGTTGCCCCCACTTGGAATCTCCCTGCCCAGGGATGGGGTTCTCCCAGGGACAGCCTGTTTTCATGGGCGCGCTCATGCCCTGTCTGAGCCTGTCTCCTCCGCTATGAACAGTAGCACGCGGTCACCCCTAAAGGGGTCTTTGACTCCCCAGTTCTGTTCCCAAAACTTCTGTTTCCCACTTTAAAGAGAACGGAAAGAGTCTCATTTTACTCACATACAGATTTGACATGCAAATGCTTAGCAACCCTTTTTAACCCGTCTTTTGTAGTAAACACACTGAGCGTATTAAACTGTAACTTTGAGTTTCACTCTTCTGTACAAAAGTGGCATTGCCTTCTAGATTAAGGCATTTACCCAGGATTGAACTTAGGCTTTATAAAGAGTCCTCACTTAGTTTCGAGACAGATTTGCCTGCGAGACGTCACAGGGAGGGAGACCCACCTAGGAGCAGGCTGGTGAAATGGGGGGTGGGGATGGCTGTGATCACACCTGGCCTCACAGCACGTGTGGTCAGGAGTAGAGACCTCTTTCCCGCTGTGGCCCAGCAAGGACGGGGCCAGCCTGGAGCCGCGCTGCGGGGCTGCGCCCACCCCCACAGGCAGCTCACATCGTGTGCCCTGAGCCCACCCTGCCGTGTCTCAGCCAATTGGGAAAGAGACAGTGAGATCCCTCGAGATTAAAAATCTGGTTTCCAAGTCTACCTGCACCCTCGGAAGGAATCCCCAAAAACCCAGTCTCCCTAGAAGTTCATGCTCCCGCATTTCAATTTTCCGTTGTTAATAAATTCCCTTCATCCCTTTAATAGATGAGGAACCGAGTGAGGGGCCGATCTTGGGGGACGTGAGGGCTGTCGGCAGCTTCAGAGGAGACAAAGACTCAAAGTAATACGGTGATTTTTGGAGGGAGGGAGCAGCCAGGCCAGAGGCTCTGCTTAGGAAGCCCCAGGACGCTGCCCTGCCCTCTCTACGGGCAGCGCCCCCTGCTGGCAGTGATGCAAACGGTGTGGTTTGCACTTCCCGGCCCTCAGAGACAACATTTATTCCAATGACCAAAGATAATGTCCAAACAACTTACTGATTTGTTTTTCTAAATCATTGTGGTTAAGAGGTAGGTGACCGTGTCTTTCATACATTGGGACTGAAAGCAGGCCAGCTTGCCGGAGTTCGTTTCCAATCGGAATTTCTGAATGTACTGCCCCAACCCTGCATCTCGGATCGTGATACTTCATTTGGAAGGAAGAACCAAATCTTGTCCAAAAGATGTGTAGCCTCTCTGTGTTTGTAAGGAGAGGCGAAAGTAGAAGTCCAAAGAACGTCGCTTTTAAGTGACCTTTGTCAGGAGAGACGGGGGAAAAGCTCGGATACTGCCCACTGCCACTGCTCCTGCTCACTGCTTCTGCTGCTGCTCCTGCACCTGCTCCTGCTCCTGCACCTGCACCTGTACCTGGTCCTCCTCCAGCACCTGCTCCTGCACCTGCTCCTGCTCCAGCACCTGCACCGGCTCCTGCACCTGCTTCTGCTCCTGCTCCTGCACCTGGTCCTCCTCCTGCACCTGCTCCTGTCCCTGCTTCTGCTCTTGCACCTGCTCCAGCACCTGCACCTGCTCCTGCACCTGCTTCTGCTCCTCCTCCTGCACCTGCTCCTCCTCCTGCACCTGCTCCTCTTCCAGCACCTGTTCCTGCTCCTGACCCTGCTCCTGCACCTGCTCCTGCACCTGCACTGCTCCTGCTTCTGCACCTGGTCCTCCTCCTGCTCCTGGTCCTCCTCCTGCACCTGCTCCTGTTCCTGCTCCTGCTCTTGCACCTGCTCCAGCACCTGCACCTGCTCCAGCACCTGTGCCTGCTCCTGCTCCTGTGACTGCTCCTGCTCCAGCACCTGCACCTACTCCTGCTTCTCTTCCAGCACCTGCACCTGCTCCTGTTCCTGCTCCTGCTCTTGCACCTGCTCCTCCTCTTGCACCTGCTCCTCTTCCAGCACCTGCACCTGCTCCTGCACCTACACCTCCTGCACCTGCTCTTGTTCTTGCTCCTATTCCTGCACCTGATCCAGTTCCCACATCTGCTCCTACACCTGATCCAGTTCCTGTTCCTGCTCCTCCTCTTGCACCTGCTCCTGCACCTGGTCCTCCTCCTGCACCTGCTCCTGTTCCTGCTCCTGCTCTTGCACCTGCTCCAGCACCTGCTCCTGCTCCAGCACCTGCACCTGCTCCAGCACCTGCACCTGCTCCAGCACCTGCACCTGCTCCTGCTTCTGCACCTGCACCTGCTCCTACTCCTGCTCCTCTTCCAGCACCTGCTCCTGCGCCTGCTCCTGCTCCTGCACCTGCGCCTGCTCCAGCACCTGCACCTGCTCTGTTCCTGCTCCTGCTCTTGCACCTGCTCCTCTTCCAACACCTGCCCCTGCTCCTGCTCCAGCTGCAGGCCTGGGCTCTGACACCAGCCCCCTTGGGAGCCTTCCACCTGCACCCACATTCAGAGCACTTTGTGCCTCCTTTGCTCCTGCCCTCGCTGTCAGCCAGAGAGATCAGTCCTCGAGAAGCCCTGCGTGGGTGCCGTGGGGGGAAACCCATGTAGACATTCACATGCTGGAGTCTGCCGCAGTCACCGTGGGTGAAATGGAACCTAAGTTTCCAGATAGCAGCCCATCCTGGAGACCCACAGAAATGCTGGGTTCCCAGCCTGAGAAGGGCACTACCAGGAGCTCAAGGACAGGTGGAGTCCCCTTGGGTTTTGGGCGGAGAGAAGAAAAGGCTGAGCCCCGGTGTCCTGAGCATCTTTCCCTACCTGGGGGTCCCAGGCCCTGCACTGGGGGCCGCGTGGGTCCTCTGTCCATCCCCTAACTCAGCAAACATGGCCATTGGCGGTCCTGACGAGCTTGGGACTGTCCCAGACACTGAGGGCTCAGGGGGAGGGGACCCAGATGTGGCCTGGCCACAGTGGCCAGTGTAGCAGGTAGGGTGGGGGGAGTGAATTCCTTCTGCAGCTGCAGAGCATGGGGCTGGGGGAGGGCGGGCGAGGCCCCAGGTCCCATGCCAGGGAAGAGCGCAGTCGACATTCGAGCCACGGTCTGACCCCAGGACCTTCTGTTTTGTTTTGCCATATTGCCTCCTGTTTGTAATGCACAAATACACACGAAGATACTTGGTAAAGCGTGGGGGCGCAATGCTAGTTTAGTGGCAACTCATGGACTTGCTGTCACCACATGGAAAGCTGAGGTGGGAGGGTGGCCCACGCCCCCGCCCGCCCCCCCTGCCGGCCTCGAGGCTGCGCTGACTCCTGCCTCATGGAGAGCAGCCGTCCTCTGCCCTTGCCTGGTCCTGGCTTCTCAACACAGCACACATGAGGACTAGGTCAGCCAGGAGAGGGCTGGTGTGCGTGTGTGTGTGTGTGTGTGTGTGTGTACACACACGCACACACGTGCAGGCTTGATCCAGGTTCGGGCTCCCATAGTATTATTCCGTAGTCTTTGCTTTGTCTCTAAACGCTCCATCATCCTTCACTCCCAGAAGGAAAGACAAAATCCCTCCCTGCCTGCCTGTGGCGCACATGGTGACGAGCATAGTCAAACCCCACTGAGGCTTTCGTCCAACGCTGGGGAAAGTAGAATGTGACAAAGGGTGAAACCAAACCCCCAAGACGGGGAGGTGCACAGTGTGAGACTATGAAGTTAGACACTTGAACAAAATAAAGACCGCTAATAAATATTTTATATAAAACTTTTTACTTGTGTTCAGTGTTAAATGCTTCAAGGTCAAAAAGATTTGCTTATCTCTTACTGGGCAAAATGGGCCTTTAGTTTGCATTTTGAATATATTTATTGTACGTCTAATGAGAGTTCCGTGTTATTACTTAGTGTCCTGGTTGGACACCCGCTGACTGTACAATCACTTTCTTTCTGGGACACCTTCCTGTGCTATGAGGGA